TATATATATATATATATATATACATTCTACATTATATATCAAAATAATTCGTTGCGTTAATAACTCAGTTTATTTTTCATTTTTTCCATCGATCAGGTTTGGACATCGCGAGTTGAAGTGGAAAGTCTCGCGAGTTGAAGTGGAAAGTCTCGCGGGCTGGATGCGGCCCACGAGCTGCTAATTATGTATCACTATCATAAAAAAATGTATATAAGCCACTTGGTTAAATAAATAATTGCATCACCGATATGTAATTTCACATTAAATTTTACATATAAAGATTTTATTAAATTTAAATTATTAGATACTTTTTTTAAGTTTAAATAAAATATAAATAAATATCATTTGCATGTGCAAATTAAATTGGATAGAGATTAATTTGAATAGAAATAATAGATAATTTACGTACTTAAAGTCTAAAACACAATGCGATGGAATAGCGATAGCGATAGAAATAACATCTGTCAGAAATCGGATACATCGGAATATATAGCTTCTGATAGACTCACCCAAATAAAATATTCTGCCGATAAGCGGGGAATTCTTTTTATAATTAGCATTTCCTCTAAGCAAAAAATCTTACCTGAATCAGGCGTATATTTATAACACGTATTCATCTATAAAAATTAGGACACAAGCTATGATCAAAAATAAATTCCTCTATAGAAAATTCTGTTATAATAATTCAAATAGCCTTTTGAAATAAGAGGATATACAAGATACTAGCGGTACGCTTATTTGTAGAAGATGTTTGTCATTTACGTGCTACCATAATTATGCGTGCATGTCAGTACACGCAAGATATTCTTTTAGCATTAAGAGGATTGCAATGTTAAATGTAGTACTTTATGGTTATACAAAATTCCTTTACTTTGTAAAGTATCTTCTTGGGGTATAAATGGAAAATCCTCTGACATTAACACGGAACCGCTAAACAGCACTTTATTTTGGGTGTTGAAATCTATGGTTATTTCTATGGCTATCGTTATTCCTTCGCTACATTATGTCTGGTGTTTAAAACTTCGGGGCCCTGATGCGGTGCATGATGTGAACCCCCCTTTGCACGGCCCTGCTTATAGCGTTTGAGACTAGAAAGCCCCTAGGTCTGTCTGCTGTGATTGGTGATCATCGATAATAAAAAAGTAACGAAAAAGTAACGAAAAATTACTTTCTTGAGTAACGGTAACTTGTTACTTTTTATACTCGGTAACGAGTAACTGTAACTTGTTATATACTTTTAAAAAATAACTTTCCATTTCCTGATTAAATACCGGAGTTCCTTTTACATCATATGTAAAACTCCTTTTCCTTCGTTTCTTTCTTACAACCACTCTCTCATCCAAATTTTTTTGTGTTTACAATTTCTTCTTTTAATTTATAAATTTAATAATAATGTAGCCAAAGCAGCCAAAACTTTCGTCGTTTTTGTAGTTCATTAATTAAAAATAAATGATGTTTGTCCATCGTTGACATAATCGTTTACATTTTAAAGATGGTAACGTAATCGAGCAGGTACTTGTTATGTCTGCAGTTATTTTCTACTATATTTGATTTTGAGGCTTTCTAGATTTAAAATTTTTGTATAAATCTAAATTGTATCATTCTTTAAATAGATTCGTCGAAGGAGAATACAAAGGATAAACGAATCCTCTCAAACACTGCTCTAACAACACTTGCAACTACAAAACAATATATTTTCAAAATGCTAAGGTCTCGGTGGTCTAAAGGCTTAGGACGCTCGCACGGAATGCAAGAGATCCGGGTTCGACTCCCGGCCGAGGTATTATTTTTCGCAATAAGTTTATTACAGTTTTTAAGTTGGGAAATTTGGGGGGATTATTAATATTTTCAGATTTGATTGCCGGTTGAAAGTCCGACAACGGCACGCAATTATAATTTCTGAAATTAATTCATTTAAATGAATTTACAATAGTTCAACATCTTAACGTTCTGACCGTTATGGCGCTTCTAAATTTAAAGTATTTTCAAAATATTTTGTACCATATACAAACGTGTGTGTGTGTGTATATGTGTGTGTGTGTATATATGTGTGTGTGTGTGTGTAAAATGAAATATTTTATAACACTGTACTTTTACAAGAAATTTTTTCCTTCAGCTTCTTTCTCGTGATATTATGAAATCATCCCGAAATATTTTCCGATATTATCTTAAATCTTTAACGTTATATTTTATCGCATTGGTACATATTAATTTGTTCACTTATATTATAAAAACGGTATATAAATAGTATTAAAAACTGGGGAAAAAGGACTGCGCGGTCGTAAGATTAATGATCTTGACCCATTTCTTTCATCATTCATGGAAACCCGTGTGCATTCTTCACTCTCATCCTAACAGCTCTCCGTTTTGTTTATCGTCAATCACATAAATACGGAAATGAAATTAAATTACTCAGACGATCCGCGCATTTCCTCTACAACAAAACGGATGATTATCTTTGCGGTGAGTGAACGCGCCATGAAATTACATATAAAACCTTTTCATACGGTTTATTCGAACGTGTGAATTCAGGAAGTGACAATAAAGTCATAATAAATTCTTCGCATAAACGTTGCAACAGGAAGTATTCGGGCATATCCAAGTCGTCCAAACAATCATTGTTGATCGATTGCAAAATCGCCGCGCTCGCTAAAGAGCCTGACGGCTTATCATATAAATATAAGGTCAGGAAGAAGATGAGGATCGAGAAGAAGGAGAGAGAGAGTATTATCGTTAAGACAGATATGAGGTCCTCTCTGAGCCTAGGAGCAGCCTTGCTCCTGACGATAGCGATCACTTCGTCCATCATCCAGTCATGCAAATCAGAACATTCGTGTGGACATTTAGGCTCAGGTACGTTGACTGCATTTAAAATTTATTCGTTAATCGTCCCCATCGTCGCGTTGGAATTCTTTGAGGAAAAGAAAGACTTCTCTATGTCATGTCCATACCTTTTTTAATTTTTTAGGCATTAACGCGTGCAAATGCGGGGAAATAGTGGTGAAATCAGCGAAGGTGCAAAAACCGTTGTTCTACGCGTCGCCGGAAGCAATCAACGAAGCTGCAGTAGCACGCGAAGCGGTTGGAAGATTGTCCTTGGGAACGGATCGGTGGCAGTCTGAAAACCTGGCATCTATTCCCAAATATAAATCATATACCGGTGGAGCGTTTAGCAGCAGCAGTAGCAGCAGTTCTTCAAAATCCTCATCTTCCATTGGAATTTTTGAAGGACCGACTGACGAAAGCAACGCTTACTCACCCTTCAATTTTGTCTCGGATAGAGTTACTTCCAATTGCGGATGCGGAAAGGGTCATTCCGAATCTCTGGAGGTTCGCGATCTCCTGTCCTCTAATATTGAAGGAAAAGTCGTGCCCAGGTATTCCATTACGCATGTATTCATTGTTTCATGATTTCACCATTACGTTATTCTTATTTCACGATTTCATCATTCGTTTGTTAACAGTTTTCCACCGATCGGTGATCTGTGTTACTCGAGTCCGCCTAGCAGCAAATTTCAGGTGACCACCAAAGTGACACCTGCATATCCTGGCAAAATCAAATGCGCCCCTCCCATTCCTTACAAGGTTTGCGTCAAAATACTCAATGGACAGATCGACGAGGCTGGATTGAGGGAACTCGGTTTAGCAACCGGTGGATCAATCGGCAGGAGTGCGAGTATTTTCGACAAATATATTTCTAACGATGTAGCCAAGACGGCTACGCGATACGGTTCGCATGCGAGTGCCGGCGCGGGTTCGACCGCATATGGATCGTATTCAGGTGCTAACGCGGGTTCGATCGCATACGCGGGTATCGGACGATCGAACATTGCGAACAACGTCGAGACGATCCAAGGATCGAGCAGATCTAGCTGTGATTTTGGCGATGATGCAGGTACGTCTCTCAATCTAACTTGATATATGTATTATCTAACTACACTGAAAAAAAGATTGGCTGCTGCAGCAAATTAGATGGTAAAATATGGCATAGCATTTTTAATTGGCTGCAGCAGCCAATTTTTGATTGCGTTTTCAGCCAATCTTTTTTTTCAGTGTAACAATAAGATACAGTACAGGCCTCTTTTTTAAAATCTTTCTGTTTATCCATTCATTATAATTAGTCAGACTTGAGTGAATAGTAATGTAATTTTACACAAACACGAGTTATAAAATATACATAATCCAGTTTCATGAGATTGATATAAGCAAGACTGTGAGATGTAACGTTCGTTTATATTTTAGAACTTCCTGAAGACTATTCGTATCCTCGATTGCCAGCGGATCCGGTATCAGTCACTTTAGCATATAAGAATCTCTTCCCACGCACCGTGTACTACAACAAGAAAGCATTCGTACCGGAAGACAAGCTGGCGTTCGGTCATCGAACCGTGCCGACCGAGTCGACACCCAGCAAAAATGTGCTGGACGTTCCCGAGGAAAAGCTTCAAATCCTCGAGAAACCCATCGTAGAGTTGAAGCCGGTGCCACAGACTCCCAACATCATCGGCGGTTATGACGAGCACGAAGAAGCAAAATTGGCCGAGCTCGAGGCCATTGAGCGCGAGAGGATAAATCAGGAGGAGATCGCTGATCGGCTGCAAGAGAACTTTATTACGTACGGGTAAGTCAAAAGAGGAAGAGAATTTTGCGCAAGTATAACTTGCGGCTCGCAAGTCTCGACATCTTCGACTCGGTGCAGAGATATGTTAACGACGCTTCTCGTCAGGTTCGTCGCGAGCCAAATGTTTGCACTTTCGCAATACAACTTGCCGGACGTATACTTATTTATGCGTATTCTTTAGGAACCTTGCTGTCAAATTACTTTGAGCAACGCGCAAAGACGCGCATTTCATTTCTAGATTGATTAAACGTTTTGATATTTGAAAAAATGCCGCTCACACAGATTCGCAACCTCGCTGTTTAATCAATTATCAAATCTCCAATGTTTGTTATTTAAAGACACGGTCTTAATCGTATCGAGTTAATACGTTGAGCAAGCATAATTTCCAAAGATGAGCATTATCGGTATTAATTGCGTACTAATTACTCGAGTGTTGTTTGTGTAGCGAGCAAATTAAAGTATCGAGCAAATGCTAATTCCGAGACAAATATGTATTTTGGCGAATAATTGCTTTTAGAGATCTAGGATACGCGCCAATCAACAGGCCCTTATCGGCAGATCCTACTGCCGTATTCAACAACGTGGAAGACGATACCCGCGGACCAGACTGCGGTCCGGTAGGACCACCAGACCCCGATTATGTTCCTGGCAGCGTCGTAATCAATCAAGAAAATATCGTGGCAAACGGAGACCAAGTCGAAGATGACTCCCTGAGAAACAACGACAGTTCAGACATCTACGTTCGTCATTATGACGAAACTAACGACGACGAGGAATATGACAGCGACGAGCCCATATCCGGCATATTCGCCAGACTGAAAAATGCCGTTCGAAAACACGGTCGTTTATCATCCTCATGTGGAACCGTATGATCTTTCCAACAATACGGAATTCGTAAAAAGGACTTGCCTTATTGACGGTTCGCGATTATCAAGATGAATCTTGATTGATTCTTCTGAACGCGCGAAGACGTGGACACTCTCCAAAATATTACACTAGTCCCAGTCCTGTGTCTTTGTGATGTTATTGATATAAGATAATATAGCAGTTGTACGAGAGTCAAATTGTTGATTTTATTATACAATTCCTAAACATCCTTATTCTTTCTCGATAAAAAATTTTTTATACGTGTATATATACATATATAAAATATGTATAAAAACATATCTATAAACACGCATAAATATTCACAATCATATATGTATAATTATACATGAAATAATATGTCCATATACATCTCTCTTTCTTTAAAATTACTTTTTAATATACTAAAAATAATAATAATATTGAGAAAACATAAAAAATAGTTAATGGGACAATTTTCACATTGTTTGAGAAAAAATCAAGTTCGGAAAAATACAAAAAAATTTGCTCATACATAACTATGTATAATTTTACGTACGATTATATATGAAAAATTCTTTTACATTTCTCAAACAATTGATTTTTTCTAAAACAAACAATGCGAAAATTTTCTTTTTAATTACTTTTGATGTTTTTTTCATTATTTTTAGTAAAAAGTAATTTTACAAATGAAATAAGGATGTAATGGCCATATAGGTAATTATATTGTATATGTTTATGAATATTTATACATATTTATGTATGTTTATACATATTTATATATATTCGTGGTGAAACGGTCCATATGTATGCGTGTGTCAGGATAAAAGATTAAGAGAAAATACAACTTGCGCGTGCGGAATTAAAATTATGAAATTGCGATTTATACATGTGTATATATTTTTAATAACGCAATAATTACGCGGTATACTTTCATATAATTTTACAAATCAATTTTCTTTATTTCTATTTTATTCCGACATTTTATGAATCAAATTTAATTGAACATTGGAAAAATTTTCTAATAAATTATTATATCAAACTTAAAATATATCTAATAAATTCCTACTATCAACAAACAATATAATTCAAACAAAGACTAATGAGAGTCAGTGCAGATAAGTAGCACAGATAAATTTGATATTCGCTGAGGATGACTCCAAAGTGAGTTAAAAGATTTAAAATATGTAAATAAAGATTTTCATCAACTTCTGTATAATTACTTACCTACGTATTCGAGTCTCTCTCCGTTATTGATTTAACTTTGTTTCTACTATCAACTTGACATGCTTTTTGTTATACACAGAGAGAAAAATGTTTGGTATTTGTAACTATAATTATATATTACTATAATTATGATTATTACTACTATAATAATAATAACCATAAAAAATATGGTTGTCCCAAAATATAACTATAAAATTATAGTCACTTGAACCATTTTTATGGTAATTTCAGCTATTTTATGGTTATAACAACTATAATTATAGTCATTTTAGGTTGCCAATTATAACATTTGTTGCTGGAACTATATATATAGTTACTGTTATTATTATTATAGTAGTAATAATCATAATTATAGTAATATATAATTATAGTTACAAATACCAAACATTTTTCTCTCTGTGTACAAAATTGTTAAACTTTTTTTATTTTATTATTATGTACTTTTACTTGCACTACTTTATAATATTACTACAAAAACTTTGTAATAATAATCTTATTTATAACAACAACAGAAGGATTTATAATAATAATTATACAGCATCTTTGATAAAAGCTTAAGTTCGCCTAGACGACATGTTAAAGGTCAAACAGGTTTCCGGCTATAATCTACAAATGCGCGTAGAAGATTTATGATCTCCTTTCTACTTCCTCGGCCAAAACACGACCGTCAACAGGTCATAAAGTGTTTCACTCAGAAAAAGGGAAGCACACCACATGGTGATGTACGATGATCTCCGCGATGGAAACATATCTAATGTATCTTCGAGAGAAAGCGTGGATCTCGGAGTGTGCAGTAGCTATTTAAAGACGCTCCACGCGAGTTCAAGCGTTTCTCTTCGTCAAGGCATCTTTTCTTTTTTCTCTTCTTTCTTCGCGAACGCGTACATGAAATTTACGATTCGTATGCACGCGTCGAACTGATTTATTTCATTTACATACGTGACATAAATTACAAACAGCGAAACGAATGAAACAAGGAACCAAACAAAACGACTACGAGCGAAAGAAATAATACAAATTTATGATGTAAGTACAGACAATGCGGTATATCATTTATTTTAAATGTAAAGTTCTATGTCGATATCTATAATAGATATCAAAGTATCTCTTTTGTAATATAAAAATATGCTTTAGCGAAATGTGCTTCAAAGAAGTATTATATATTCCATGGAATCGAGAATAATGTTAATATTTGAGAGATTTCAATATCGATACTATTCTAAATTGAACTATAGATACATTTTCTTTTTAGCATCAATTTTTCTCATATTATTCTTATACATATATACATACACATATATATATATATATATGAGAGTATATAATTAAGTTTATATGGCTATCCAAATGTGAATAATATACAAATAATTGTAATTCCGTTTTTTATTTTCCAACATATTCTGACATAAGTATAAAGTTTGTAATAACGTATCGATTTCTATCGATAAGTAGAAAAAATCGATTTGTATAAAGCGATACACATTTTTATTTTTCTTCTTTTTTTTAAGTACGGCCTTCTCTCTCTCTCTCTCTCTCTCTTTCTCTCTTTCTGCAATCGTAAGATAATGTGAATCTAAATGATCTTATACAATGGATTTATAAATAAATAAATATAAATATAAAATATGTATAGTATACATTATATGTATATATAAAAGTATAATAGTTTATTTAGCAATTATAAATTCATAACATGTATTAATTTATTAATAAATTAGCATACAGTGGTATTCATTTTTCATTTTTCATTTTTAACGATAATTATCTAGTAAATGAGATGATTTGATGATCCAAATTACACAGGAAATGAGGAAATCTGCATGAACACGCACCAAAAAAAGATACGTGCTTACTCCATCTTTCAATTCAATTTTTCAGCCTCGCGGGACACGTAATAACGAAAGGTTTTTATTTTGTTATTATTTTGTTATTGTTAAAGATTTATCGCTGTGGTTACATCTAAACAGGAAATATTTCGTGAATTTGTCTTCGGCGAAACCACTTCTATATCAGGAGCGCGGTGTATGGAATACCAGTTTAGGTTTTGTAAATCCTTGTGACGATGACGGCAGTATTCAAATTACAACTTTTTCTCATTGTCATCATCTGTTTCTATTTAAAGTCTTCTTACGGCTTCAAATTGCCGTACAATGGTGTTAAAATAGTAACATACGGCGAGCCATGTCAGTCACCGCGTTATCTACCTGTTTCAATTGAGGTATATAACACATGATATATATATATATATACAGGACTGGGTAATCATTTAAAATGCCAAATATAAAATACTTAAAAAAATGTATTTAAAATGTAAAATGTTTTTCGAATCCACTTTATATGTAAAATGGATAAATTAGATATTTTAAATAGTTTTCAAATACAGAATGGTTTTCCCTATATTTTAATATACATTTTTTAAAGTATTGTACATTTAGCATTTTAAATGGCATTTTAAATGCAAAAATACCCAGCCCTGTTAATATATATATATATATATATTATACACACACACACACACATATATATCTTATTGTATAGTATAGCATCCATCCCTTTTTTACTCGATGCACATTATAACGTACATTACTCAATCATCAAACTTATTAAACATCAAAGAATTATTAATAATCAAGAATTAATTATTCCATTTCTTATCACGTGTAACATTTCAGGCATGCACATATCAGCCTTATTTATAATAACGATATATGTATATACAATTGTACATCTTTATTCTCCAATTTTACTACAGATACATAGTATAAGCAAGTCTAAGTGATTATTGTTATTCAATGAATATGTATCTGTAAAATTACAGGAACCTGCGAAACCTGTGACGGAAATTGTTTCACCTAAATGGTCTTGCGAACATCAACCACTGAAATTAAATTATCGAGTCATCTCTACTGAGCCGATCCCTTATCAATCGCGAAAGGAATATCCAATTTCTGTAGAAGTACCTCAAATGCCACAGCCTTTGGAAATAATTACGCCGGATTCTCTTCAAGGGAAATCTTACGCATACAACATCCAGGTTCTACCACCTCCATCTGTGCCAATTTCGAGGAGACACGATTTCGATGTTCAAGTGCCACCTTCACCTTCACCAATTTCGTAAGTTTTTCTATTTTATACATATTATATTTATAAAAGAACAAATTCCATTCACTGCAATATTACAGATTATATGTATACATATAATCCATCGAAATTATTATAAATTAAAAAATTATTATAAATTAAAAAATAGTTCCCTTCCACTAATATTTTACTCCCTTTTAACACTTTCCCTCTCCTTTCCATCAATTATATATAAATACCGTCTCGTAATGCTGACATTGTCATTGCCACATTATACTTACGTTCTTAAATTTTTTCGTACCATCTGAGAAGTTCTTCCATCTACGTAATATTCTTTTCTTGTAAGAACACCGCATTATAATAATTGATCGCTGTTGAAATATAAATTCTTGATTAATTCAACTAAGTAAATTTTTGATTCATTCACTCTAAGAAATTAAAATAGATAAAATAAACTCTGTTTTGTTCATTAGAATCTGGTAGTCCTATGTTTATTATACAACGATCAAGAAATAATTTTCAATAAGAAAAATCTCATACGTCAATAAAATCAAAGTTACATTATTTTCTTATTTAGACAACTTCACATATCATTTTATGTTTCTCGTATTCTGTAATTTGTACTGAAGATGGTCAAAAATTGATCGAAGCGTTTATTTTTAAATTTTAAATATATGACTTTGCGAAAAACATCCTACGTATGTGGCTCCTTCTTATTCATATTTTTTATTATAAATTGTTATTTTATTTATATATATATAATATATTTATTTGCTAGTTCTCTTTGCATTATTTTGCTAATAATGCATCTTTGCCAAATAACAATCCAAATTATTTTCATTGAAAAACGCCTTATTAACAATTAACATTTTTATTTCAGAGTGCCAACGCCACAATCTGTTAATCTTTTAACCGGCCTTACCAGTAAAATCGACAGAATTTTAATCCCCGCCTGTCAAGTGACATCTTCTGGCTGCTGTAATACGGCATGAAATTACTTAATTCTGATAACGCGGTATCTCTCATCAAGTGAGAAATACATAGTATTCGACAGACAAATTGTAAAAAATAAAGAGATTTAAAATAAATAATTCTAATTTTTAACAATCCTTTTACTCTCCTACCTTTTATATCTTCGTTTGTCTTTAACTTAAAACGGTTGGGATCTGTCTTATATATCTTTAAATTTTTAAATATATCATAAATTTCAAATGCCTTTTTAATAATAATAAGTATAGTTTTTTTTTTAAGTTTTTTCTCCATGCTTTATTTGACATTAATAATAAATATATATTCACGTCCACTCGGTCAGTCATAACCGATTATAGAGTGCATGAGAGCCACAAATTCGAATGGGAAAACGTTATTATTTTAGATGAAGAATCTCATTATACGAAAAGAATAAGACATGATAAGAGAAGAAAAGATACGAAAAGAGAAGACAAATACGAAATTAAGAAAAGATTGATTTCTGAAATTTTATTTATCAAAACACAAATAAAATGTTTAAACTTACAAACAGATACTGAAGGTCTCCATAAAGCTTATTTCCCTATTATCGACAAATTAACTCTATAATATAGCATCGGTTCATTAGTCAATGACAGCTATAGAATATAGTGTCTCGTAAACTATTCATCTTTATTTTAATTTTTTTACTAAGACTTTTGAACAGTCAATTTATATATCTTTACTTTGAACATTTGGATAAGATCTACCATTAATTTATTACATTTTATTATACCAACTGATGCATAATTCTAACACATGAGATACAATAACACCTTCAATGCTTTTGGTAAGTAATTTTCAATTGTAATTGTTACAGTCATTCTCTTTATTTATGGTTATTTCATAACAAAAATAGCATTTAGGTTTTCATTTGGTCGATTAAGCGTCTGAGAATGACAACCATGTAGCGTTTCAACGGAACTCTCATCTAATTGTTCAAGAATTAAGAAACAATCGAAAGTATACAAACGCGAATAACTCAATTGTATGCATCAATGAATAATTAATAGTTGCAAAATATTTATCATCGTTGTCGGATTCTCAGATGAAGGCTCAAAAATGAGCCGAAACATTTAAGATGTATCATATATATATAATATATAACCGAATATAATAATTCGGTTATATATATTTATTTATTAAATAGAAATTGTGGACTATTTACCGCGACTCCTATGCTCCCTTTATCGTTTATAATTATTTGACATTGTTGCATTAAATATAACTAGAAGGTTTTTATATAATTTTTTTTACTTTATAAATTTAACATTTTATGTGTGGTAAAAGTATAATTATAGGTATAATAAAAGAACCGGATCGAAATAATAGTAAAATAACGTAATGATTAGACGATTTCAGCATAATACGATTTGATCCTTATCTACAATAAAAACGAATTTGCTTACACGTATATAAATTGTTTAACCTTACATTGATATTTATAGCTTGCAATACTTGCAATACATACATATAATATTAAGATTATAAACTAGATTTTTTCCGCAAAATAATATAATAAGAGATAATATCTAGAATTTAAATGTAAAGAAAATTTGTAAATGCGAGTAAATAATTAGTTACATATATATGTACACTATACATATATATACATATACAAAACTACATTATATTATACGAGATATTAAAAGCTAATAAGCCAATTCATGTGGAAAATATTCAAATTTTCATCGATTTATTATAATAGTTTCTCTCCTTTATTTACAATTTGTGTCATTAAATATCCAGTCAGTTAAGTTTGACAAAAATTAATTTTGTCAAATGCTTGCTACACAAATTTTTTCGACAAAAAGGCACCAAATTTGATGAAAATTCTGTTATATTCTGTTGTAATGTCAGCAAATTAATGACAGATGCACAATAAAATCTGTTGACGTAACATGACAACAAATTTTCGACAAAACCATGCAAAGCTTGTTGACAACTTGATAGCAAATTGACAGCAAAAACGATTAAAATCAAAACCGACTAAAGTTTGCTTGGATTCTTTCTGTCAATTTGCTGTTTGCTTATGTACGCAGACTTTGCTAGCCAAATACAAATTTATTGCTGACACAGATGGTACCGGATTTGTCATCAACTTCTGATTGAATTTGACACTAATTTGGCGATAGTTTGCTTATACGATATATATCAATGTATTTATATGTATAATAAGTCGTAATTTACAACGTTTACATTACATCTGATTAAAAATTTTTCTTAAATTTCTAATAAATTATTTTTAATGGTTTCTAATACATTGCATAAGTATATAAACGCAAATTGACATTTATATACACATAAATATTAATATATGCTTATATTTATTATTTATTATATATAAATATAGATGTGTGTGTGTGTGTGTGTGTGTCGTGTGGGCGCGCGCGTGCATGTGTATAATATATTAAATATGTATTCATACTTAGAGAAAGTACATTGCTATATTTTATTTCATTGGTAAAAAAAAATTCAGAATTATTATACAAATATGTGTTGCGTAAAAAATATCATATTAACAATCTCTCAAGCAATAATGTTGATGAATCGTGCTCCATTATAAAGCGAGACGCTGATAAAATCATGAATAATCTCACGCGCATCAGTACGTATCTTGGTTAATCGATCGTTGTCGACCAACAATCTTCGGTGTTTTTTTATTCCATCACGATCTTCGTGCCGAATCTGGACACGATGATAATAGTCCTGAGAGTATATGAAGCAACCTGTTGTAGCTAGTGTCATCGAGTTCCCGAAACTCATCATGATGAATACGAACATTATCCTCGCGGCATTTGCCATCACCTTTCTGGCCTCTTTACCTCCAAGTTCGGCTTACGCCAAGCACAACTTAGATATCCCTAATACCTTTGACAAACATCTTGATCATGAACTGCAACCATTTCTTCGGGAAAAGAGAGAGAAGGAAGCCGAAATGTTCCATCTAAGAAATAATAATCCTTTGGAATTAGAAGAAGAACCGTTGGAGCCAAAATCCATCTACGAGAGAAGAACGCTTGGAGAAGAGGCAAAGGATATTAAAAAAAGCGAGGAGCAGGAGAAACTGAGTATCGACCCTAAAACAAACAACGATGTTGCAGAAGAAGAGGAAGATGCTCAGGTAGTAATTGAAATATAGTAATATACTATTTATTTATTATAAAGAATTGTTATCAGAATGAAATAATGAACCAAAATGAAAGTAAATCTAAATTAGATTCTCTCTTCTTTCAGGATGACGTATTTTCATACAGAAATATGCACGATCTCATCCAAGCATTGATTCTTGCGGATGAAGAGGACATTGCTGAGAGATTGCAACAATTGCGAAAGGTATTTAATGATGAAAATTTGCAACGCAGTCGCTGCTATATTACACAATTATACATCATGACAATATTATTAGTATTATCATTACAATATGTGCAGTGCAATGTAGAATTTATTAAATTTAGCAAACCTCATTGAGAGAAACTTGCACAATTATTTTATTCATATTTAAATAATGAAGAAAGAAGACTGGAGTAAAAAAAGACAGAAAATACACATAGTTAATAATCTACGATGGTTATTATTATATGGTGTCATAACTAAATATAATGTCACATAATATATTTCAAAATTTTTAACTTGACAAAATGGAAATGATGTGCGATTAAAGGTCCTTATCTTTAATTCGTTTGCAGAATACTACGAAATCTGAGAGGTTTAATAATTTGCCGAAGCGTCAAGCGGTCGCATCCGCAGCCGCAGCCGCAGCCGCAACCGCATCAAACGGACTTCTCGGAGCGAATCCGTGGGATGTCGTTCCTCTGATCGATCTGGATGCTCACTCTTGCGAGGTCGAGGCTTTCTCACACGGTCACTTGCACTTGTCGGGTACGATCGTGCACGAGTTCTTCTGTGAGCTGAGGAAATTTTGGCATTACGGCCTGATCGTCTTGCGGAACTTGAGGTCCGGGCTTAGCTTGGGGCCATTGATAGATGGGGATATCGTCTCCGACAACATCTTGGGCCACTTGTTTCATCATACCTCGCATCTTCTCCACATCGTTATCAGAGAGCCTCATCATCTGCTGATTTTGCCCGATATAATCCATGACGCCGTACCGTTCCCCAGCATCATTGGTGCCATTCATCGGCTCAAACAGGTCTTCTTCAAAGTGCTGCACTTTGGGATCGATCTCTTCCGCACACACGTTCGTCATATCTTCGTGCACTTGTTTTCTCATCTACGTTTGGGCCTGCGAGAAAAGTTATTAGGAAGTTTCAGCTCGGTACTTCCGCTGGAGGAGATAATCGCAGAACCGATCGTGTCTACAGCGGCGTCTGCGGTGTCCACAGCGGCGGCATCGGCGGCGGCAGCGACGGCAACGGCGACTGCGGCCACTTCCAGCGATAGCTCAATCATTGTCCCGGATTATCAGACATCATTGGCAGAACTGCTGTCTTCGTTCCGCGGCTTCTACCACGGTTACTACGCGTCTGGAGTACCTCATCTAATTAAAACTGGTGTAAGTGGCATCTCTTTGCCCTCGGTGTTCTCCGGAATAAGCTCATACTTGTCAAGAACACCCTTCTGTAACGGACCGATTGAACAGAGCACCACAGTGACAACGTCCAGCACGTCGAGCTCCGTTGCTATCGGTAGTGGCCCGGTAGTAAGCCCAGTGATAGAGCCGATAGTCCCTATAGCACCCGTCGTTCCTATCGAGACTGCAAAAATTGCGAGCTCCTCGACCGCCACCGCCACCGTCGCCGAAACGCAGCCAGTGTTTTCCGCTCTGATTCAACCGGAAGTCATACCCAGCGTTTTGGAGGGCAACGTGGCAGCCGCTTCCGCTGCTGCTGCTTCTTCAGCGACAAACGTCGTCTCAACCCCGGTTGTTGGACAAGTGCCGCTTACCTTGCCGTTGCGCAAATACAGACCGAGCCTGTCCACTATCGCACCCGCCGCCGCGGCCGCGAGCGCTTCCGCGTCCGCTTCTACGGGAGGTCGCACCGTGCTCGGATCTGCTCCATATCATGGCCTTGATCTGGACATTGATCGCAGAATCAAATATCCACTTCGTTCGCGAGTCTTACCCGTCGTGGTTCCGCATCGTCAGCCATCGCATCGACCTCCTCGGCTAGCAGCTCCGCCGTGGCTAGCAGCTCCGCCATTTCCTCGGATGCTTTCAACATCGTCCTGCCCAGAGAACAGATAGTTGGCGCTCTCGGTTATGACTACCTACTGCCGGGCGACATCATTTCGGTCACCCTGAAGAACAAAGCGATCCTGTTCGGCCGCGTACTCGATGCCACCAGCCCAATCACGTTCAGTTTCCTAAGACCGAAAATACGTGCCTCTTTACTCCGTCACGGTGGACGGATCTGGAAGCTCCTGCCTAGACACTTCAGGAATCCCGAGTGCTATAGGAAATTTAACGATCCTCTACTCTTGCGTTACGGTCTTTAGACATTATTATGTATCTCGTGACTAGTCCTGAATTATTGTCGACATGTACCAAACAATCGATTGTAACCGATCTCAATCATGAATAAAAATATGTTGAAATTGATAAAATTTACATTAATTTTTCACAACAATTTCTCATTTTAATATTATATACTCAGACAACATTACGTCCAAAATGCGAACATAAAACGGCTTGAAGACGTTTTAAAGATTGCTTCAAGATGTATTATAAGACATCTTAAAGCAATCTTTAAGATGTCTTCGAGACGTCTTATGTCCGCATTTTGGACATAATGTTGTCTGGATCTCTAGTTTTGCGAATGTTATATTTATCTGTCTCGATATTCAAAATCGAGTAGCATTAGCTTAACGTTAACGTGCATAAAAGCGTTTGTTACTTTCAGTATTGTTCGTTTATTTTCTTTCACTTTGAAACACTTGCGGCAATTTTTAATTAAATACGACGGTAAAAATAGACTTAAATTTACATGCAATTTGCAAAAGGCATTGATACCGTGTTTACCGTGTATGTTTACACAAATGCCGTGAAATATATACAATGATCTAAGGAAAATATACGTTTTAAATAAGAAATTTTTTATCGAGTACGCATGCTCGTATAGATATTTTTTTGAATAATTATTATGACATGTGTACATCCATAACGTAAAAGTTTCAAAATCAAATTAATGCAATGCGTACCTATACAATGCATATCGATGCGAAAAACAAATGTATTTTACAAGGTTGGGTAATAACTGCAGTTAATTAGTTAATTAGTTAAAAGTTAAGTAAATAGGTTAAATGTTACTAACTTTTAACTTGATTTAGTTAAATGAGTGAACTTTTAACTACAACTGATTATTTTATAAAACAAATTTTTTTAACTTTTTTCTAATTCTACATGTGTTAAAATATTTCTTTATCTTTAAATGTAAATATTTCTTTACCTTATAAAATTTTAAACATTTTAAGAGATATTAAATTTAAAGAGATTTAAATTTTTAACACTTAAAGAAATATTTTAATAAAAATGATTACTAATTTTATTTGTTCTGAAGAAAATAACAAATAATCCTTAGTTATGGTTTATTAATAGTTGAATGTTAATTTTAAAAGAAGATAATAGAGGAAAGATTAATTGTTTTTAATAGGTATACAGGGTGGCCCATCGAAAACGAAATAGACTGAATAACTCCTACAAACATACTCGTAATTTTTCGAAAAAATGCAAAAACAGGTCGATTTGTGTTGGGAGGGGGACATCTTTTGACGTATAATTCTTACGTATAATTCTTCTCTCAATTTCAACCCCCTAAGTGGGAGTATTAATTCCTAAAAAATTTCAAATAGGAAAGGGGGTCAAATGATACATTAGAAAAGTCTTTCAATTCCCTACATTCCTACGTTTGATTTTTTCAAATTCGATCAATTCGTTTAGAAGATACAGAATATTAAATCTAAAACAAATCAATCAAGCGACGCCGTAGCGTCGCGACGCCAAGTGCACAAAAATATAAAATGGGTCGCTTGACCGCTTGACGTGTGTGAATGTCATTGCGTATATGTTCGTGCCGTTGCCAAATTCGCTACACTGCCACTAGCTTTATCTGGAGTTTTGACATCAACAAACTTTAGATTAAAATTACTCAGAAAAACAAAAACTGCAATCAAAATCTGAAAAACAAAAACTGCAAAAATCTAAAAGCACTTTTATTACATTATAATGTCATCGATATCTTTCGATTGCAATCAGTCCAAATAAAATTGGTGCAGCTGATCTGAAAATCGAGTCCCGAAAATGGACCATTTCAGATTTTCAGATTTTTTCAGTCGTACATATTAGACCGACAAGAAAAATAAATTTTTTTTTAATCAGCCTCTCAACTCAAAAGCTTCCATTCATACCAAAAGGACACCCCTAAATTTTTATAAACAAATATTAAGATTTAGAAGTCGCTAGTGAACGATTTTTAAATCAAAGTTTCGATTTTTCTTAATATATGTTTGATTTGATGCAAACATAGCTTAATCCGGATTTTAAATGTGGTATGTTTTTTTGATCGTTGAACACAATGCAATAATTCATTTAACCCTACGATATACATCTTAAGAAATATAGCTCGATTAATATGAAAAATGACCAAATTTTGAGTTCACGTCGATTTTAGCAAGATTCTAAGCGTTCAAATAGGTCGTTACTCCCCTCAAATTGTAGGTCTGTTCACTCAGAACAAGATTCAGTTAGATTTTTCCCGGGATCTCCTACAGGGCCTTTAAAAGTCGCATTTAACTGGATTATAAAATGTTTTTAAAGATAGAAAAAAATTTTTTTTATCCTTAAAAAAGTTCTAAAGTATATCGCTTCATGGTTTTGACATCCTCAAATCAAATACCTCAAATTGACGATAAAAAAACTCTTTATTAGAAAATGAAATGAGTACATAATACTAAAAAATATAATTTAATTAATTGAAATAAACTAAATAAAAACGGACTGTATTTCTTAAGACATATATTAAATTAGGCTATCTTCAGTGTATAAGAATTTCGTAAATTTTTCACGCAACTGACGACTAATCTAAGTTTATTTTTTCTTAACATGTCTAATTATTGATTACGCAAGAACGCTCGTTAACTAAAAATTGTTTTTCATTTTTCCTTATATTGATGTTAGTCCAAAGAATTTCGAGTTATAATGTTCAAAGGAATTCGTCTTTTATTACAAAATTTCCGATAATCCAAATGTTTGTAATTAGTTGTTAATTGAACGCAAAATTTCCAGATTCTAACGAGCACAACATTTCTTGATTAATTAAATGTTTGCAATTCGTGTTTCGAGTTATAAAATATAAAAATTAGTATCTGTGTTCCAATAAACTTACATGAATTAATATTGAAAATGGATAACTTGTTGTAATAAAGTACTCGTTAAGATGTTCAGCCGAATTCTCATCATGATACATATCTTTATATACCCAACAAGTATCGAAACAAGGAGAGGATAAAATGATATTATATAGGGGGAGTTATGCTAAGCAAAGGAAAGTATGTCTCTGATAATTTTTCCGTATCACTCTGCTTGTTAAGACCATCAATTTGTTTTTTAATAAATATATATCATTTCCGACGTGATTCTTTTTTGATTTAAGAATCGTTCACTAGCGATCTCTAAATCTTAATATCTTTTAATAAAAATTTAGAGGTGTTCTTTTGGCATGAAATGGAAGCTTTTGAGCTGAGAGCCGATTAAAAAAAAATATTTTCTTTTTTCCTTGTCAATCTAGTGATGTGTGTGCATACATGTAAAGCGTTTTGTTTATTAAACTGCTTTTTACAAATTCAAATAATGTTACATTAAAATTAGCAATATAAATAAAAATTAATGCATATACATATGTAATAATTATCGATGTATGTACATGACGCAAACAGAGACAGAGTGAGAGAGAAGAAGAGAGGGGAAGGGAGGGAGGAAGAGGGGGAGAGAGAGAGAGAGAGAGATGATGGACGACGACGATACTAGGACAACGACACAACGACGACGCTGGACGGCAACGACGACGTCGAACGAGACAACGACATTTAACGACGACGACGACGTTGTTTTAAAAAATTTACAAAAAGCAGTGAAATCCCTAAAAAAAACCTCTTTAAAAAAGAAAAAAATATACGCCAAGTGCATAAAGAAGGTATTGAATATTACATTCCTTTTAATAAAAAACGGATATGAAATAAATGCAATTAGTCAAGTATTTTATAATGCAAGACCATAAGATAGATTGAAAGTGACTAAAATGATCAACTGGATTATAGTGAAGAAAAAACTTGGCGTGCCTGGGTCACATCATAATTGCACTTCTGTGAATATACTATATATATATTACCTCAACACATTACTATTAAAAAAATTACGATTTAATTGGTAATATAGACGACTTTAACGACGCTTAAAGCGTTGTGAGCACAAAAGCGAACACAGCCTTATTCGTAAGAACAGAATGTAGATGCATGTCTTTAGTATATCTCTAGTTTAATCTCCATCTCAGTTTTCACACACTTGATCCCAGTATGCAACTATCCAACCTCGTAGTTCAAATAATAATAAACGGATATGTGCATAAAAGTAAATATATAATGATATATACACAATATGATAAAACAACGATATATAATAGATCAGGGTTGTGCTCGTTACTTCAAAAAAGTAACGCGTTATCGTTACTATTACGTTTTGAAAAAAGTAACTCGTTACCGTTACTCGTTACAAATTTTAAAAAGTAACGCGTTACTGTTACTTGAAAAGTAACGATTCGTTATATATATATATATGTATTGTGAATTATATATTTTTAACGTTGGCAGTACCTATTAGAACACGATAGGTATAAGATATTAAGTACAAAATATTTCTTACAAAATTAAGAATAAATTATAAAATAAGAAAATAATAGGGAACTAAAGTAATGGTAAAAGTAACGGCTAAATTCTGTTACTGTATAAATGTTACCGTTATAGACAGAAAAAAATAACAATCGTTACTGAAAAAAGTAACGACGAGAGAAAACGGCGTTACAAATAACGCGTTACTTTCCAACCCTGTAATAGATTTACATACATATACAATTTAAAACACACAAATACATCCTTCAAATTTTATAGAATAGCGAGAAAATTATTAATATACCGTAGCAAATAAAAATGATATTATAAAAATGATATTACAGCTTTAATATAACTTGCATCATTAATTAAACCATGGCATCGATCATGTAACTTTTTCCTAGGGCGGAAATGTGAAAAGTGAAAATTTTTTGCATGTATGTGTGTATACGTTCATATATACATACATAAAAATTTCCACTTTTCACGTTTCCACTCTAGAGAAAAAATTACATGATTGATTTCCATGAGGAAATTGATAAATGAATTGTTGACAAAGTATTTGTGTACATCACCATCTGCAAGACTGCCATCTGGTGATTTAATACAAAAATCAACTCATATTTTTCATATTTTTTGTGCAAAAAGATATTTTGAGCAAAGAAATATTGTTATGTCAGACGTTACGACGTTTAGTATTAGATTTCGTTGAATCAGTAATTAACAGTTTCAATTCATCATTTATCATGCGCATTATCACATGAAAGGATGTTATTCAGTCAAGTTATTAACTCAGGTGTACCATGCTAATAATAACAGGTTGGTAAATAATAGCTGGAATATTCGGCTAATATATAAACGTATTCGTTGAATTGTCATTGCACAGTACAATTTGCTGATTTCTCTCTGACAGAGAATTTGGCACGTCTCTTCAATCTTGTCACTCAGTCATTCCTTTTAAATCGCGATGGTACGCGTTGCTCTTCTAGCAACCGTTCTGGCGGCCCTGTGTTACACGAGCCAGGTAAGTTATAATATTTCGCAAATGCAAAAAATTGTTTTGCGATTCAGAAATGCAAAGAATAGAGAAAAGAAAAGTTGCTAAATATTGAATATTGTAATTGTGCTAAAATCGATTAGTCTGGATCTACAATAGGTTTTTAAGCTTTAAGCCATAAGAAAAGAACGATGACAATCGATTATTCTCCTCGGATTCGACTGTAATTGGTCAATTTCTTACGGCTTAAGGCTTAAAACACCTATTGTAGATCTGAACTTATGAACACGCGATTCTATATAATACATCTTTTTCAGAATATCTTAATTTTACTTAAAATCAGATTACTTTAAATAACAAAACATATATCATACCTTGAAATATAACTAAATCTTGTTTTTATCAACCGCTTATTAGGCTATCCCGGCTCAAGTTGGAAGTACAGAATTTGAATTGCGCAAAGAAATCTCCGACCAAATACAACAAATACTTGATAATATTCCCGAGGAAGTGAAAGACAAAATTGAGGATTACAGGGACAAATTCCTGGAATATTTAGAACAATTCGAGAAATACTCCCAGGAAAAAGGAAGGAGCGCCTTAAACATATTTGAGAGAGCTAAAGAAAATGCCATGAAATGGTTACAAGAGAATAAAAATGTAAATGAAGTTCTCGAAAAGCTCAAGAAAGTGAAACAAGAAATCGAGACAAATTATCAGTATGCGCTGAATAATCAAATTCAGAACATTAAGGATACCATCGGGCAGTTTATTAATGATGATTTGAAACTGAAACTGAAGGAGAAACTCAATTTATATCAAGAAAAGGTAAAAGAGACCATGGAGGAGGTATTAAGAAAAAAACAAAGTGGCGGTGAATCTTATGGCATCAGAAATATTCTAGAGAAGGGCAAAGACATTATAAACGGTGCCCAAAACAAATTAACAGAAAGCTCGAAGAAGATTGTGAATGATGCCGATGAGACTATCAAGAAATTTAAAGAATATATAAACGAAAGCCTGCAGAAGGGTGATAAAATAAAAGAGTTGATAAATAATCTGGATAAATCCTGGGACATATTAAAAGAAACAATAAAGAATGTCACAGGGAGGGTCAAAGACGATAAGGTAAAGAGATCGGTCAGCAATGTTATAACGGATAGACAACAGGCAAGCATAATAGGAGGGCTCTTAGACACGGCCAACAGCTTGGTGAAGGAAACAAAAAAGGGAATAAGGATTATCGGAGGCAATGAAATAGATGATATTAAGAATAACTTAGGGAACCTAAAAGATTTGATGGGTGAGATATTGGGAGCAGAAAAGGGGACACAAGAAGAGACTACTGAAAAAAATATTAAAGACGATACTAAAAATATTTAATTCTCACTCTCGGCCGCGGTATCAAAAACACAATACTTTTATTACTTTGATTATATTCAAAATTAATGTGTTCTTCGGAGAAGCCATAAACTTGAGTTTCAATTTCACAAATTCTCCGGAATTATAGTTTTTTCAATAATTTAGCATTTTACAGAAAATTTTGCCTAGTGAGCAATATCTGTAACACATTATATCTCGATTTTCAAGCGTTTTAACGCTAATTAATCTTTTAATTAATCTGATTGTGTAGTATCTTCGTCCTGTTGAAGTCTGTAGTCTTATCTACAAAGATATCTTTTTCAGGATCACTCAAGTTATGTAACGCTTATCACAATTGTATTGAAATTCATGAACACAAATAAAAAAATGTACATTTTAATATTGTGACAAAATTTACTTTATCCCTAAAGCATCCACTCTAAAAATTTTAATAAAATAAAAAAGATGCCGTTATATACAAACATATACAGAGGAAAAGATAGTATTATGGTATCCTATTTACATTTTATACAATAACTTGGTTAACGATTGATATTTAAATTTAAAACTTAACAATTACATTTGCCAACATGTTATTCAATCAATTCTAAACTCAAAGTTGCAAAACATTTATTACTTAGAACGCTATTTGTAAAAATGTGGCGATTATACTGCACAATGGCTCGAAGAGAAATAGAGGTGGTAATATGGCCTTCTTCAAAAATAGATTTAAGAAATTGGTCTTGTTTAAAAAACAGTATCTGGTTATATATATATATAAAATTAACAGAAAAGTAAAGTACTGTAGAGTGTATGTATGCAAATTATGCAAACGTATGTATTACACATAACTCCTTCCGCATATAGACTGCTTATATAGTATTAAAAATCTATATACATACATATGTAATATAAACTATAGATTAACAATAGAGCTGCAATCGATTTGGAACAATTGTTTTGATATGAAATCTTCGAAAAAGATACTGTCGGCATGTTTAGATCACAAAAATGCCATACTATCGTTTAACTTCGCATAACTCGAAATGTATACAGCTAAATAAAATATTAAATAACATGCGTCTCTCCCCAACGTTAAATATTCACAGAAAGTTCGATTCATATTATCAATGTACCGCTATTCCGGAACAGTAAAAGAATTGTCATAGAATGTGCAAATATCAATGAAATATTCAGAATATTGTGAGAATACTCCTTGCATGTTTCACGAAAATCGCTAGCGAGCGAGCAGTACACATCTCCGCCGACAGAGGACCGTGGCAAAGAGCATTTACTCGTAAATAAGAATCACCTGGGGGAGAACATAAGGAGCGCAGCACTTCGTCTGTGAAGGGAGTCCCAAAATTGGGTTCCAAGGTGAAAACACATTAAATGTGTTTTCCAAAGTAAAATTTTGTTTGAAGACTCATGGACGATCTGACCTCGAATTTTTAGAAAAATTCAAATTTTGCGGAACATACATGGAATATATATGGAACATTTTCGGAAGTTGTAACGATATACAAATTAAATTTTTAACCGACATTTTAATGTTGCTTTTACATAAAATATTCGGAACATTTTGGAATATTCTTGGAATATTTTTTGAGAATTTTAGGAATATTTTGTGAATATTTTAAGAAGCGTTTGCTGTGTCTGGGCGGTCTTATCTCGCCGTGCGCTTGCATTTGGCGGTAGGCTGGGCAAATTTGAAAATTTTCATAAATTAATAATTTATTAACTAATGCGAAAAATGCAAAATGGTAGAGAACTTTTCTATTTAGTTTAGTCCTTTCTGCCCCTATGCGAGAGTTTTATCGTTAATTATCAAGCATCTTGTATGTATGTTTGTGTGATAATATGTTTAAGTTTAAGAAAAATGAGAAAGTATGTATAATGAATGCTAAAATGTATTTTAAAAACATTTCAAAATGCTTAAAAGTAAAAATGCGTTATAATAAATGCTGACTATTGTGTATTAGCATATTAGAAATTTTTCTTCAGTGAGTTATTCAACATAGAAACAAAAATGATCTATTTTGATTCGATGTTGAATAACTTGATAAAAAAAATTATACAGAGTTCAATAAAAAAGCAAATTAGAGGTAAACATTCACTCTTTCGAAATGTTGTGAACCGTATTTGTGTGCAATTTTTAATTCGCGCTGTAAAACTTTGCAAATTTTGTAAAAAATTTTGAGATTTAATGCATCTTCATTTATGTTTGTGTAACTTTATAAAATATTAGTAAGACCGTTTTCTAAAGTATCAGTCTGAAAAGTCGATATTTCGAACTGTAAAATGCTTTTTTAAACATCAAGATATAATGATTTTTGACGAAGTTCTTCTATCTTGAAGTTTGCCTATTTTTGCAGGTGGAATAGCTAGGTAATTCTTTCATTTTGTTGAGTAGTACTCAACAAAATCATGTATATTACATAATTATACATAAGAGATGGACGCGTTTCTCGTAAGAAGAAAATGCCCAAAAGTTTTATAAGAGAGCATAGCAAATCCAGTTAGTGAATCCTGGAGATTTCAAAGCTCTTTTGAAATGTTCTCCAGGTTCCTGAATCTGAAAGAGCTGCAATCATCAAGCTTTTATAATATCGTACGTACGGGATCACACAAGATATAGAAAAATATTTAACGTGTGTGTGTGTGTGTATGTGTATGTGTGTGCGTGTGCATGCGTGTGCATGCGTGTGCGCGCGCGCGTGTGTGTGTGCGTGCGCGTGTATGACACTTATCATGTTATAGTATCATTGAAATATGTCTGATACATAAATGTACATTCAAAATTACTGACATAGAGATATACCAGAATATAACATTTATTCGTTTAATGTTACATAACGTCTATGCTGCATGTTTGGTTTGATGGGAACTTGGGAAGATCGCCCGAGTGCACTGTATCCGTTGCATTCTGGCTTGAAACGGCCCTGATATGTACAGAGTGGTTAAATACATGATATCAAATAAACACTGTTTGGAAAAAAACTATTATTTTTCTGCCCCTCGCTCTTAAAAAGCGTGAACTGGACGTCATCACTCATCATCTCAGAATCAGCAATTCGGTTGTATGCATATGTACATAGAGGAAGGTCACCTATACTGACATAGGTTTCCTAAAGCGACATCCCCTTATTTCTTAGAAACTAACCTTTGCTCCTTATTAATACTAATAAAAACGTAATCTGTTTAGCTAATTAAAGAAGTACAAACTCATAATTCATATATTTGACTTATTTCTATACCAAATCAGCTAAAAACAAATTCTATGAATCCGAGAAAAAAATTCTTACGATGTTCTTTTGCAAATTGCATAATTAAAATAATAGTGATTGTATTATTGATAATATTATGTCATTTTAAATGTTTATAGTTTCATAAATTAGTTTTCTTTACAGAATAGGATATATCTTTATTTATAGAATAGGAATGATGGCATTATTACCTACTATGTCAGTTTTGGAGACCATTTTGTCAGATGCTCATTTTTGCATAACTTACGAAAAACTTAATTATTGCAAAATTGCAAACAGTATTATAAAAACTGCTTATACTATCTGAAGACACTTTTTAGTTTGTATTTATGTTTTTAAAGTTGTATTTTTACCTTTTGTTTAAGAAATATTGTCTAAAAACAAAGTGGTATGTTGGTATCGGTGACCTTCCTCTACATGTATGTACATTTATCTAAATGTTTATACATCTTTATCCGACTAATGTAACGTTTCACGGAGGGAGGAAGAGATGGCAGTTAAAATTGATAATCACAATCTCGCCTTGAACTTTGACCTTTTCATCCGAAACCATCAATTCATTTCGCATCATGTGTAAGTTAATTATAATAAAGCTTATTATAAACTGTTTACAAATAACAGAAATGTCTTTTTGTTATAGTAAAATAAAATATCAGACAATTGTATTAAATTATATATTTTTTATTAAATAAAGTTATTAGTTGTAGTAGCAAACTTCTGTTGTAAACATTCTCCAAGATAAAATATATACATTATAATCTGCATCAGAGAGAGAGAGAGAGAAGGTCGGTACGCTTATCTGGAATAAGAGATTTCCTTTCTGAAGGTTTCTCTCTACTCGTAAATTATTATAAATCTCAGTATACGAAAACATTCTCCGATAAGATGTATCCCTTATCGTATAAATTTGTAGGAAGGAGTCTAATATTTCTCTTCTTGAGGAAACTATAAAAGTAGCGTTATGTTTACAAGTTGATCTTGACTTAAAATTCTTGTACTCTTAACGATTATCGACTTTACGGTTAAATTTTATAATTCATTCATTTGATCCTATCAACGGGTCATTAATTTTGGGCGTGCTTATTTTATGCTATTAATTTGTTGATTTATTAATACGTGCTGCTAATCATTCTACGTTTTACTGCACTCCTAGTATATACATATATACGTACATATACAGGGTGTTTCCAAATTAAATGGCAAAACTTCGGGAGCGTGTAGAGGAGTAAAAAACTAAGAAAAAAAGTCCTATAGACATATGCTCCTTTTTGCTTTGTTTCGCAGGAAATCACGAAAAAAGAAAAAAATATATTTAATTTATTATTTTAATTATTTTATTTATAAACTTTTTAATGAAGATTTTGTTCGAAATGTGCACCTCTTGCAGCAATACAAGCATTGCATCTGTCAAACACGGCTCTTGTAGCAGCCAGGCCTTTAAAGCATTACCGTTGCAGAAACCGTATACAAAAACCATATCAGCATATTCACTATTAGAATACGTACGCGGCATATTGCAAAAGACAAAATTCATCTACTATTAAAGGCTTTCAAAGAGCGACTGACAAATTCATAACAGAAAGTGGAAAATGTAATCAAATATGTCGGTGCTAGATATGGCAAGAAATATAAACATTTTTTTTCGATTTCTCTGAAACGGAGCAAAAACGAGCATATGTCTATAGGACTTTTTTTCTTAGTTTTTTACTCCTCTACACGCTCCCGAAGTTTTGCGATTTAATTTGGAAACACCCTGTATATATATATTATATATAAAAGATTGAACTAGACTCTTGGAAATATGATCAAAGAATAATCAGTTATTGTAATTTTTGAAAAATAGCTAAATTTAAGTTAAAGGTACCAACTCTTAATATTAAAATCACAAATTGAGAAAGTATTTCTCAATTATTCCGTTTCTCTCTTAAATTAAGACGAAATAATAAATATTTTATGTTAAAGCTTTATGAAAAGATTCTAACAAAATATTTGCAAAGAATTAAGTATTATATGCTTTATAACAACAATTGTATAATAAAGAATTAACTATCACGCACATTTAATAAAGAAACATTAATTATAATTAATTTTAATTTCTTTTGCGATAAATATAAGACTCTTGCTAAACGTATAATAACAATTTGTTTGTCCAACTTTTTTTTGTTTGCCGAGTAAAATACGTACATACACAGTTTTGTGTGTGTGTGTGTGTGTGTGTGTGTGTGTATATTTACATATTAAAAGAAAATTAAAATTTTTTTAAACTCTAAGTTAGATATTTGTTAATCATTTCAAATTTTGACAAAAAATTTTATACTTATGAGATACGTACATTAACAGAATTAACATATGTATATCAAATTTCTCTCCAAAAAATATTTATTAAAGAGATCAATCTATTATTTTTTAAAAGACAACGTCATTAAAAATAATTGGCTTTTACAGAATAAAAATCATAATGTCCATGAAGAAATAATTCAATATAATAATAATAATAAAAAATATAATACAGTAAAATACTCATGTAAAACTTGAGTTATAAATAGCAACAAGTTCCGTTTCTTTTATCTATTTATCATTATTTGTATTAGTTGAGCAACAATTAAGGAACAAAATTAAAAAATGAGCTTTATATAAATATTTGAAAGAAATACTGTAATTCTGGAAATGCCGAGCATCTTGAAGCAAGCACAGATTCAAATAAATATGTGTAAAGCGGCCTTCTATAATGCAACGAGAGAAACACAGGTCGTTGTCGTCGTAGTGAGATAATAAGCACTTTGCCCCCTTCGATAAGAAACGCCTATAAAAGAGAGTATAATCCTCCATCCTACTCATCAGTTGTTTTCTAATCGACCAAAGAGGAAATACCAGCTTGAGATGAGGTACTTACTTTCGGTTATTTTAGCCGTCCTTTTGGTTACGGCAGAAGGCAACGTTGTACCCACTAGTGATGTCGGGAATCAGCAGACTGATACGCAACCTCTTCAATTGTCCGACCGCATCAAAGAGGCTCAAAATGTCATCAACGACTTGGGCGCACAACTTCAACAGAAGCTTCCCAACCAACAGGAGTTTCTCGATGCTATTAAGGAGCAAAGCACCAACTTATTCAACAATGTCCACACGTATCTCAAGAATATGTCTAATGAGGTAAATTTGAATATTTAACACACATACGCGCGCGCATACACACACACACACACACACACACATTTTTTACATACTTGGTACGTTAAATGTGTTTCATTGTAACTTGACGAATCAACTAAGCAAATGTTCGAGCGATTGTTAAAATGCATTTTGCATTTGGATATTTCAATTTTATCAAAATTATCTGTTTGGTATGTTACGACTTTTAAATGTATATGAAGATTAAAGGCTGACTTATTTGTTCGCAGTATCGGCGCTCTACATCCTCGCATACCTAGAGACCTAGAAATAGACGTATTTTCGAAATTAGAGATAAAAGAACATCGCCGCACCATCTAATTTTCCACATAGAGTGTAGAGGATTGTTTACTTTCTGAATAAATTGGCAAGAGAAAAGCCGATCAGCTTATCTATTCTTTTAAATTGATCCTCAAAGAGACAATCAATGCGAATGAGCAAAAGAGATAATCGCGATCGATATCAAAATCGAAAATAAGAAAATTTACAGTGCAATTTATACATATATGTAGATACAACGATTCAAAGTATCGTTTATATCGATGCGTTATGTAATATAACAAAAAGTTATAATCTTATTTAATATTATAACATGTTATTATAACATGTTTGTGTGTAAAAAACCAAAAACAAAAACAATTACAAGTAAACGATAAATTACACTTTTTTTACATGTTTTTTATTATTTCTGTACTTATACAATAGAATTTACTGATCCTAAATATATGTATATGAGGAGCACTCTTTCAAAATTTTGTCCAACATTTATAATTTTCAGAAAACGAGAAAGAAAGCCACAAAAAAATTACGCGCCTTACAGAAAATAATAATTTGTCAGTCAGTATAAAATGTGAAATATTCAACAAAATTGCTAAACAGTTGCTAAAAATACATAAACAAATACATTTTGTTCGTCTCTAGTTAAAGGACATAATGCACTTCGAATGTCAAGCACTTTTTTTCAGCACATAAATTAAGAGGATGCTGGAGTCGCCTATATTACCGATAAAACTAGCGTTTTTGATGTTTTGTTCCTGTCGAATTTCTTCGTAATGGTTTCACAGAATAAAAATTCCTTTTCCACGATTAAAATATACATGCTAATGTATTTGTGGTTGGGGTATTTTGTGTTCAAAGCTAGAAAAAATAAAAAAATACAAATTTTTTTATTCATTTTACCTCCAGCGTTGGTGGCCATACTGAGATAAAAATGGATAAAGAAATCTGTAATTTTTTATTTTTTCCAGCTTTGAACACAAAATACACCAACCACAAATACATTAGCATGTATATTTTAATCGTGGAAAAGGAATTTTTATTCTGTGAAACCATTACGAAGAAATTCGACAGGAACAAAAACATTAAAAACGCTAGTTTTATCGGTAATACAGGTGGCTCCAGCATCCCCTTAATGGTGTAGAAAAGCTTTCAGAGCATCGTATAGAGTAGCTTAAAATATAAATCTCTCAACACTGAACAGTATGCCTTTTTTAATCTAAAAAATGAAATTTTGGATAGAATGCATTTTGGAAGTCTGCTCTTCATATTCAAAAGGTATATAATATATACCTTTTCTTGTTAAGAATATAAGATAAGTACTCAATAGAATTACGCATAGCTTATATATACTTGAGAAACATCGCGCGCACTTAAAATTGTACAAATCGAATGAATCGATACTGTAACATAATAATGTTATCTTAATTTTCTCGGTTACGTATTTTCTATTAAATAAGTGTTATTAAAAATAAAATATTGAATAATATATTGTTACAAAAATTAAATATTGCGCACTATATTATTTCAATAATTGAGATAAATTTTAATGCATCTTGCATCATGCGCCTTAATTTGCATCTTGTTTTCACATCCGTGTACATTTAATTATATTTCGCATACATCTCTCGATACTTTCAATTTTTTCGAGAAAAATTCTGTGTTATTTTTAAAACTTGAGAAAAAACATTCTTAGCTGTACGCACACATGACCGATCGTTTGCAGATCAAGGCCAAGAGCCCTGAGTTGGAGAACGTTTGGACAAACATGAACAAAACACTGTCTGAAACATTCAGTAATTTAAACGTCAATCCTGAGACAACGGAGCAGCTAAGTCAGCTGCGTACCAACTTCCAAGAGGGTGTTCAGACTCTTGTGTCAGAATCAGAGAACGTTCTTAAGACCTTCAACGATAATTCCAGCAAGGTTCAGGAAGGTATCGCCAAATTTACCAAACAAGCGATCGACATGGCCGTGCAGGCTTCGCAGAACCTGAATAATCAGTTGCAGCAGGCCACGACACCACAACCAGAAAATTAAGAATACCAAATTATTCCTGCAAATTACTAGTGTGCGTAACATCTTGGATAAATTCGCGAGAAATTCAATTTCGCCAAGTCAGCCTAGTCTGCGTAATCTCGTGTCGTATCGTAAACATCGATAGCTGACGAATAATTAATAAAAGTACTTGATCATTGTCATCTTGTGATCTTTATTTGTTTCCCTAAATTATCATATTATTATCACATCATTCCAATAAGATATCTATTTCTTAATACTCTTATGTGATGCTCACTAATAATTGAAAATTGCATTTAGGCCGATATTCATAGATGTTTATTACTTAAGACCGTTGGATGTTATATTTAAGACTGTCTTAAGTACAGTCTTAAAACGTCAGGAATTAGAGGACCATATTAGCATTTTTAAGAAATATTATTTATAAGATGGTCTTAAAATAAGAACGAACCATGAATACAGCCCTTAGAATTGTGATTCACTATATCTTATAGCGAATTCGATTGGACGCACTCAGTGCGCACTGGTGCACATTAAAGCCGCCGTACACGAAATAACGTAAAAATATGTTTCTAAATAAACATAGAGATCGATTAAATCGTGAAATACTTAATACATTTTATTGTACTATTAGGTAAAATATGTATTTCATAATTCGAAATATTTGCATTTCATTTTTATACTTAAATTAAATTAGTGTACAACGGCTTTAATATGCACCAGTGCGCACTAGTTCTTCCAATCGAATTCGCCATTAGATTTATGCTGTCTTTCTTTTTTTTATTAATGAATCGATTCGTGTCGCGGAATCTATATAGGATAAAATTACTACATGTGGATCAGGCACTAATTCCGGATCACTTTTTGTATTTAAATAATAATAATATTTTTCATTAAATGGGGTATATATCACAAGATTCTTTAGCACTTGTTTTATCTCTTTTAAGTGTCAATTGAATTTAATTTATTAGGAATAGTGCTACACATTTTATTGATGTTGTTAATTAAATGTCGCTAATTAAATGTGCGAGGTTAACGAACGCATGTATCTTTAAAAATTCATTCAAAGTGTAATATCATAAGAATTGCTTTATGACTTTTATAGTAAATAAATAGCATTAAATTTCTTTAAAAAAATCAACGTTATAGTTGACATTAAATGTGTCCGCGGGTGTTGTTTAATCACTATGTTATAACGATACTTTTATTGCGTAAATTTATTATAAAAATGTTTAAAAACTTGTCAAATCTTACAAATGATGCCTTCCCGAAAAGATTTATTTGTTTTAAGCATCAAAATAGAATATAAAATAGTATACATGTCTACATGTAAAAAGTGTTACTATTTATAATTTAACTGTTTTTTTATTGCTAAATGTTTAATTATCATCAATTTTTTTAAATTATTATTGACTTTTAATTGTTACTAATTTAAAATAAACTTAAATGTGTTAAAATTGCATGATGATCCACAATTAGATCCTAGAACTAGATGTGGATCATCAATTATAATTTCGTTATATGTATAATATATTACAATATGCATTCGCAAATCATTTTTATTATCTTTACGGAATGTAGCAACGGTACCAAAAAAGATAAAGCATTTGGTGAATTGATCCGCAATTAGTACATGGGGTCTAATTGTGGATAATTGTCATTACTTTATTTAATTTAAATTAAAATATATAAAATGATAATGAAATGGAATAAAATCATTCATAATGTAATCTTTATGATCAATCATGGCTACTAAACATTTTATTAATTATTTAGATATTGTTCTGGATAAAAATATAAATTTTTTTAAGAGTAATCCACAACTACTGGTTTTACCCTATACATTCTAACTATACTAAATAAAGCCTTCAATTTCATGCAAAATAATGGATTTCTTTTTACTACACCTTATATTAATAATACATACATATAACTATACTATGGAGATAATTAGTACTATAAATTAATCAACAATTAATTAAAAGTGAAATTTTCATCTACAATAAAAGCTGGATGCTTGGTTACGTTAAGCGTACAACAATTCAATATTAAATTTCGTTAGAATAATTTTGTATCGTCTACCCAAATAGCACAGCAGCGTCGCTAAGCGTAAAAAAAGTGCTTATTTATACTTTTTCAGAGATTTCTTAATGCTTTGTAGGGAGTAGTTTAGAAAAAAAATATATACGTACTATTAAAAAATCCAACAATCTCATATTCCTTAAAAAACGTATGATCGACGTTTCCCGATAATCCGCCATATAATTATAAACGTCCACTTGATGGTTTCATTTCTTCTTCTTTTGGAAACTATCGATCAATTTTACATACAAAATAATTTTGACAATTCAGTTCACGATTCTCTCGAAGCCGCATGTATCTTAAAATAGTAGGATTAAATTGCTGCAGATCACTCCCGTCGTAAATAAATCGATATGGCATATGCCGATTACATTGAACGCAAATAATAATTCAAAGAATAAAGAAATAAAATTATATATAATTATACATATGTGATAAAATAAATATTATCCTAGGTATACAAACAAATAATAGAGAGCAGAGAACTATACATAAGTATATGTATATAAATGCTAGATATGTAATGTATAAAAGATCTGGACTTTAGATCTGAGCTTGCAGCAATTAAATTAATTATTGCGGTAACAATGTCATTGTTGATAAATATCAGAAGACGCGGTAGTGTCTTCTGCGGCCATGTTAAAAAAAAACTACTTCAAGATTAATGAAAATGAAATGAAAGACACTACAAGTCTCTTATCCCGAGCCACCAAAGTGCATTTTCGTAGAGGTTTATATTGGGAACATATATCGCAAAATTTCTATATTTATTATTTATTATTGCATATAATGTATTAGTAGCAATGAATGAGGGGTGAAAGCACAAGTGCAAAAATAGGAATCAACATTTTCTCAAATTTAGCACTTTTTATAATTGATTGTATTGGAAATTCGTATTCGTAGAATCCTTACTTTACTTTGCTACGTGAATAGTGAACGTGAAAATGAATCAAAATTAAAAATGATTTTCCGGATAATCGCTGTTGATGTATCGTGAGGCTTATCATATTTCCTGCAAACAGATAAATATTTGCAAACGCATGCTTGGTAATCGACATGAATATATATGATCTCATATAACGATGTCAAGGAGCAGAATTTCCGTATTCCAACGATATCAATGAAAATATCGTCAATATCGCGTTTCAAATGTCACATTTTGCATGACATCTAATTTTAAATTAAGAATTTAAAATAAAATTCAAACGCACACTATGATTGTAATAATTAATTAATTAATACATCGGTAACTCTCATCTCTCAAATGTATTGTGTTATGTTAAATATTATACAATATTAGACAATGGAGTATATAATTAAATATTAGATAATAGAGAATATGTATATATACACGCACATATATATATATATACACACACACACACATATGTATATAACACACACATATATATTAGATAATAAAGAATAAGAAATGTTGCATCTGTTTTTTCAGTCAACGTGGTCAAATATAAAACAATTTTTCTTCATCTGTTATTGGATTTAGTAACGACAAAACAAGTGATTACACCTAATCAGCGGATTCCGCTTTGCTTTCGCATTGCAAACGTCAGTCAAATCCACTTACTATAAGAAGAATTCGCCGATGTGACCTATAAATAAAAAAAATGTCAATTTTAATTGATCCAAAATTTGGATCAAATTTGGTATTAAAGCGATTCAAGGTTCATAATCCCTAATCCATTATTTCTGCAGACGTATTAAAGTCATTCTACATATTCAATCAAGTTAATTAATTTTAATGTAAAAGAATATTAATAAAATTATAAAAATGATTCCGTACGTCTATACACAATATGCAATCAAATGTGCACACATATACGATTCTTATAAAAGGATGCAAATCGTCGAATCGTCTCATTGTTAGTTAAGGATCCGATATATTGATCGAATCAGCGAGAGTGTATTATCCTTGTCAATTATTAATTTTTCGAGAAAAAACTTTGGAGTAGACGGTGTTACACGAAGAGATTAGTGAGCATTTCATTAAAATGGATATATTATTTTTCTCAGTCTCTGTTATGTGTATGGTAAGATCAAATAAAGTATAATAGAGCTATACATCAGCTACTGCACGCGCGCGAAATTGTTCTAATTCAATTTAATCAAAAAGATTATGACTTTAGTTTACGCCGAGCACTTGATATATTAATTAGTAACTTATTTCTATTAAATTATCTTTTTTAGCAATGTGTTTAAAGAATGATGTATTAAAATTGGTATAATAATACACCTTCAAATGATTAATTAAATATCAAGGATATGTTTACACGTATATCGCTGAAATTAAGATAATTCAATAGAAAATTACTAGTTGGTACCTGCTATATCAAGTGCACAATGTCAACTAGGCCAATAGTATACAGGGTGATCCGAAATTCCCGCATTCGAAGTACAGAACATGATACTTTATGCTAAAACAAACAACTTTTTCCATTAGTAAAATTGCGTCCGACAAGTAGTTTTTGCATGAGAGAACGTTAAAGTTAACAAATAACCGCAAAAATTATTTATCGGGCGCAATTTTGTTAAAAGAAAAAGTTGTTTGTTTTAGCATAAAGTATCATGTCCTCCGAATGTGGGAATTTTTGATCACCCTATATATCCTAGCTTTTTTAATAAAAATTAATTTTATCAAATCTTGCCAGATATCACTTGCAAATGCTGTGGAAATATCGGCGGAAAATAAATCTGAACAATTGTCCAGGAATTTATTGAAAAAAGAATCACAATTCCAAATAATATCAGACGTTGAAGACAGATCTGAAAGGATAAATCGTGGATTTGAAAAAATAATTGAGTTGGTCAATGTTTTGGACCAAATGGACAATTTTGTTTACGACAGAACAAAAAACATCATTCGCAAGCTCAATGCAATGTACAATATGGACGAAAATAAAATAAGTAGATATCGCGGATCTAATTCTAAAATCGTATAATAGAAAACAATTTCTTTAAAATAAAAAAAATGTATATATTAACTGTATAATATATATTTCAATAATTATGTAGTAATGTAATTATATTAATATTTGTAATAATTATATATTTTAATCAAAACTCATGAATTTTAATCTATTGG